TCCTGACAACCTGAGTCCATCCTTGGAACCCTTGCAAAAGGCCAGATGTGGTGGTGCATATCTGTGATCCCAGCACTTCCCTGATGAGATGGGAGGCAGACAGGAGAACCACCTGGAAGCTTTCTGGGCCAGCCAGCCTAGCCTGGAGTGTGCAGCATGGTAGAAACAAGAGACCCTGCCTCAACAAGGACAGAACAGACTTCTGAAAGTTGCCCTCTAACTTCCATATATACACTGTGGCACATGTGTCTGTACTAACATCATACACATACAATAACACAAACTTAAAATACTATATGAAGCCAGGCGTAGTGGCGCATGCCTGTAGTCCCAGCACTTGGGAGGCAGAGGCAAGCGGATCTCTGTGAGTTCAAGGCCAGCCTGGTCTACATAGTTCCAGGACAGCTGGGGCTACAGGGAGACCCTGCTTCAAAAAGACCAAAAAAAAAAAAACAAACAAACAAACAAAAAAACTATATGATTGGCTACTTCTCATCTTTCCTTCTGTAAGAGAAGAATATGCTGACTTATTGAAGGAGGCATTTAATTGGGTATGAAGATCATTGGGGATAAATTTAACTTTTATCCAAGTTTGCCTCCAATGGGTCTGCATATACCACTGCAATGCCCATCCATTCTAACCTGGTGAGTAAGTCCCAAAAACCTACCAGGAACAAGGACCAGACACCAGCATGTAGTAAAGTGAACCAGACCAACTAAGATACTTCTAAGAACCCATTCTGTCAAATTGGTTAGACCTAAACTAAAATTGTGGATCCACTACACATGGACTGAGTCTGCACCAGACTTTCCTGTTCTACCAGGCTGGTCAGATCTTTGGACTGTCACCACAATAGAGAACCTCCAGTACTTAAAACAAAATATTAGCAACAAACACTGGCATTTTTTATCCTTTTCCTCTTGATGGGGAAGTAGTCTTCTTATATCCTTGATATAATCTCCCTGTTGGGCCAGAAATACTGACCTTGGGGAAGAATGCTTATCCACCAAATTGGCCAAGTCCTAACAAGCCTCTGTTCAATTCTTCCCTTTAGTTCTGGACTGACTGAATATATTTACTACATAAGACATCTGAACAAATATCACAATCTCCCCAAGGTCCTACCCAGAAACTGTACAGGAAAGATCTTATAAAGTTGTACAGCTAATGGGAATGGGTACAACCCCTAGAGAAAGCAAGGCCATCTCAGTCCTAGGCTACATTCCAAAAAGGAACTTTGGTTTGCTCTCCGGGAACAAGGGAATTCTGACTTAAGCTTAACCTCGCATACAGTTAAAACCCATGGCAGAACCATACTTAGAATAGGGGAAAGCACTGATTTTGCTGAGATGCAATGGAAAAACTTCAGAACTAATGTTACAGCCCAAGTTTACCTGAGTAGGGCAAGTTTTCTAACTCCAAGTTAAGCAGTTCCATTCGGAAATCACCCTTCCTTTATCTGCCCTTAGCAGGAAGCAACCACAGTGGTCATCCCCGCCCCCCCCCAAGGCTGTGGAATGGAATATTGACAGTAGGAAGATTGAAGCTACACTTAGGCTGCTAGAAAGGGCCTGCACCTGCCTGAGCACACAATTCCCATTCATCATTTAAACCAGCAGTGCAAATCAGGACATCACCAGTTTCCAGATTTCCTCAGTCATTTCCTCTTAAAGATAAAAGGAGCTTAAAACCTGTTCTAACAACACATTATACACAGATAATAAAGTAAAACCTATGCTAAGGTGGCCTTTCAGGACCCTGCCAGTCTTCTTTGTTTTGCTGGTCTACCAAATACAATCTTTTCTCACCCCAATAACCTGTCCTCAATTCACTGGGCCTTTTGCAAATAGGAAATAAATGGACCTGTGCTCAGTAACAAGCTATTTTTTAGGGTAGAGACTAGCCTTCCCTGATATGAAGGAAGCACATATTGGTTTTAAGATATTTAATAACAACCAAACTAAAGTGGAAAATCAGGCTGGAGAGATGGCTCAGTGGGTAATGCATTTACCATCCAAGCATGTATTACATGACAAACACCACAACAAGGCAATTTATAGAAGGAAGAATTTTGGGGGTTTATGGTTCCAGAGGGATAAAAGTCCATTATGGTGAGGGAAGCATGGCAGGAAGCAGCCAGAGAAATTGACCACTCACATCTTCAAGTAGGCTCAGGAAGCAGAGAGAGACAAACTTGAAATGTGGCAAGGCTATGAACTCTTAAAGCCCACCCCCCATGATATGCTTCCTTCAACAAGGCTACACCTCCTAAATCTCCCCAAACAGTGCCACCAACTGGGGACAAGGTGTTCAAATACTTGGAGCCTATGAGGGACAGTCCACATTCAAACTATTAGATTCCACTCCCTGGCCCCTATAGGCTCACAGGCATATCATACTGCAAAATGCATTTAGTCTAATTTTAAAAGTCCCCAAAGTTCTTAACAGTATCAATACTATTCAAGTTTCCAACATCTCTTCTGGGACTCAAAGCACTTTCTTAACAGTACCCCCCTGCAAAATTAAAAAGCAAATTACATACTTCCAACATAAAATGGCACAGAAGACACATTTCCATTTTATAATGGAGAAATGGCGGCATAGTGAGGAAATATCACACCCAAACAATACTGAAAACCAGGACAGCAAAATTAAATCCTATAGCTCCATGTCCAATGTTTAGTTCCAAAGAGCTCGGATGACTCATCCCCTCCCTCTTGCATCTTTCATGCCTCTAAAGGCAGCACATGTGGATGACACTGCCAAGTTTGGCTGCCAGCTTGAGATCAACCTTGGCCCCCCTTCATATTATCAGCAGCTTCTGTATGTTGTGGTTTTCTAGGATTTTCTCTTTTCACAAGCTGGAAGCTTAGCTGCTGAGGTCTTGCCCTAAGGTCACTCTTTCCATTGTTCAAGTACAGATCTGGAGGCATCTCTTTGATAATGTGAACTTTTCTTCCAGGACACACCTGGCTGCCTGGACTGCAACATTAAGCTTCCTAGTGTTCTCCTTCTTTCCAAACAGTACATTTTATACTTCTTTCTGCTTTACTTGCTCCTTTTCATGGTAGATCTGCATAGTACTTACCATTAATAACCATATCATAGATTCTATCTTGAAATTTCCTCCACCAAAGAAATTAGTCCATTACTTCTTAATTTAGCCTCAGGCAAGTTCTTAGGCCTCAAGCAGACAGAAATCAGATTCTTTGCCAAAATATCCCAGTTGCTGCTTAAGTCTTTGTTTCCCTCTCCCTCTGGAACATATTGAGTCAGGCCTCTACTACAATGGCTCATTAAGTTCTGCTTATAGCATTCAATCACTTCTAGTTTAAACTTCCAAGTTTTCCATTCTTCCCACAAACAACATGTTCAGGCTCTTCATAGCAACAACCCACTCTCTGGTACCAGCTTCTGTATTACTTTGCTGCTGCTGTGATAAAAATACTATGACCAAGGCAACTTCTGGAAGGGTTTATGGTTCCAGAGGGATGTTTATCAGGGAGGGGAGGGATAGCAGGTCACAGCCAGAGCAGAAAGCTGAGCACTCACATCTTCAAGCACAGGACGCAGAGACAGACGGGAAGTAGAATCAGGCACTGAACTCTAAAGCCCATCCCCACTGACATGCTTCCTTCAGCAAGACCACACCTACTAAACTTCTGCAAACAGTGCCAGCAATTGGGGCCAAGTGTAAATACTTGGAGGTTAAGGGGGACATTCTCATTCAAACCATCACAAAGCATGAGGACCTGAGTTTAGATCCACATAAAACCAGGTGCATAGTGCAGGTCTGTAATCCCAGTGCTCCCACAGCTAGATGGAGAATCCCTGAAGCCCATAGCCCAGCTATCTTAGCATATGCAGCTGCAAAAAAGAGACTTGGCCTCAAGATGGAAGGTGAGGACCAACAACCAAGGTGTCCCGACTTCCACCATGTGTGAGATGGCTGGCAACCACAATCACACATGAAAAGGTTAAAAATAAATGTTAAAATCAATTAAATGAATGGGTAAAGGTGGCACATACCTTTAATCTCAGAACTGGGGAGGCAGAGGCAGGAGAATCTGTGAATTTGAGGCCAGTCTTGTCTATATAATGAGTTTCAAGCCAACCAGTGCTACACAGTGAGACCCTGTCTCAAAAAAACCTAAATAGATAAGTAAATAAATATTAAAATCGATGAAGGGATGGTTCAGAGGAAACAGGTATCCCACTGGTTGCTCCCAAAGTAATTCTACCATGTCTATCTTTCTGAAGAACATCAAGTGTCATGATGGGCAGCACATTCTCTGACAGACTAAGATCTCTAGGCTTTCCATTTGGAGAACATATCTCAGGACAATAACCCAGACAGGGAAGTAAAACAAACTGTATGAAGATTTATAGCAGAACACAATGGAAAATTGGGAAAAAGCAAATATAACTGTGCCAGTCAACAGAGTAGGACAAACAGAACATGTCTGTTATTATAGATGTACCAAAGAGAGACCAAAGTGTATGAATATACGAATATACATTAAACAAAAACTGAGTAATGGAAAGAGTTTACTGAATTCTATTCTTTTCCATCTTCTCTCTTCACTGCATCAAAATTCTCCCAAAGTTGACATTTAAAAGATGTCTTAGCTGGGCGTGGTGACACACGCCTTTAATCCCAGCACTCGAGAGGCAGAGGCAGGCGGATCTCTGTGAGTTCAAGGTCATCCTAGTCTCCATGGTGAATCCAGGACAGCTGAGGCTACAGGGAGACCCTGTCTCAAAAAGACCAAAAATTTTTTTAAAAAAAAAAAAAAAAAAAAAAAAAAAAAAGATGTTTTATGTTCTAGACGGGCGTGGTGGCACATGCCCTTAATTCCAGCACTCGGGAGGCAGAGGCAGGTGGGTATTTCTGAGTTTGAGGCTAGTGTAGTCTACATAATGAGTTCCAGGCCAGTGGGGGCTACAGGAAGACCCTGTCTCAAAAAGACAAAAAAAAAAAAAAAGTCTATGTTCTTACCTATTTGCAGTCCAAGTTTGGTTGAAGATAGAGGTGTCGCTGAAGGCATTGCAGAGGATGAGGGAATGGACTCTAGGAGACTTGTGGGTGTATTCAGCAAATTTCTGAGCCAAAAAGCCTCCCAAAGAAGCCCCAAACAGATGAACCTAATTATAAACAAACATAAGGCATATCTAAAACATTGATCAATCCTGAACATAACAAAAAAAATTGCTTCAATTATTGTTAATCACACAATGTCATCACTACGCAGCAGGTTGAAATATCTACCAGCAGTTAGAAATGTAGCAAATACTATATTTCAATACAATTCATGTACCCCATCAAGGAAACAATATACCAGGGGGCTGGAAAGATGGCTCAGCAGTTAAGAGGGCTGGAAAGATGGCTCAGCAGTTAAGAGCACTTGCTACACAATCATGAGGACCAGACTTTGGCTCCCAGTACCCATGTAACAAGCTGGCATCCTGCACATACCTCTAACCCCAGCTCTGAGGGGGTTGGAAACAGGAGGATCTTTTACCTAACAAAGAAAATAGGGAACCTGGGTTCAGGGAGAGAATCTGCCTCAAAGAAATAGGTGAAAAGTGATAGGGGAGGACATCTAATACTATCTTCTGACTTCTGCAAGTGCATACACCCATGCATGCATGTATACACACACATACACACACACACAACTAAAAGAAAAACAAGCTGGGTATGGTGGCTTATGCCTTTAATCCCAGAACTTGGGAGGTAGAGGATCAGGAGTTCAAGGTCATCCTTGATTACACAGTGAGTTTGAGGCCCATCTGGGCTACATGAGACCCTATCTAAACAAGCAAGTAAACAAAACAGAACCTAAGGGAAAACAAAACAAGAACAAAAAAAAAAAAAACTAATTCCCTGAAATCAAAAACTTTTTGAGTACATAATTCAGATTTTGTAGCATTAGGGATTTTCAGATCAGGGATGCTCAACTGGTAAAGTATATACAAATATTGCAAAGTCTGAGACACCAATGTCAAGTATTTCAGACAAGACCCTCAACCTGTGCTGACCCATGCTACAACTGAACAAACCTCAGACACATTATGCAAAGCAGAAAAAGCCAGTTACAAGGGGCCACATACCACACAACTTGTAGTTTAGGTAAAATACCCAGAACAGATAAGTTCATAGAGACAGAAAGAGTAGGTCGCAGAGCCAGGAGGTGAATGATGGCTGATCATTTTTTTTCTGATTTGCACTTTTTTTTTTTTTTTTAATTTATGTGTGTCTGTATAGGCACACATGTGCATGGCATGCATGTGGAGGTCAGAAGACAACATGTGGGAAGTTTTCGCCTTCCACCATGTGGATCCTGGAGAATCAAACTCAAGTCTTGGCTTAGTGGCAATTACCTTTACCCACTGAGCCATCTTACTGGCCCAATAAATTTCTTTCTTTGGGGGGTGAAAAAAATTTCTCCAAAGTTGACATTGGTAATAGTCACAAACACTTGGGAATTTAAAAGACAGTTTAAAAACCGTACATTGTATCACCGTAAATTATATCACAATAAAGCTGTTGTTAAAAAATAAAAGACACTTTTAATCCCAGTGTTCAGGAGGCAAAGGCAGGCGGATCTCTGTAAATTCAAGGCCAGCCTGGTCTACATAGAAGTTCAAGTCAGCTGGGGCTACAGGGAGACCCTATCTCAAAAAGATCAACCAAATCAATCAATCAATCAATAAATAAAAATACTACTTCAGTCTTTACAACATAAACACTCATGCCAGGTATGGTGGCATGCACCTTTAATCCCAGCCTTTGAAAGGCAAAGGAAGAAGGCTCTCTGTGAGATCAAGGATAGCCTGGTGCACATAGTGACTTCCAGGCAGGCTGGGACTGAAGAGACCCTGTCAAAACAACAAAAACAAAAACAAAAACCACAACCACAAAAACACAAAAAAACCTCAAAACAATATAAACACTCCATTACAATTGCATGTTAAATAATGACTTTCAGGGTACTCACTTTATCCAACTGTAAGTGGTCTAAAAGTTTTCTGAATCCATCACAAAATTCAAGATGGTCCCAATAAACTGGATATTGCAACTGAAATAAGAATTTTTTTATGTCAAAACTATTAAAAATAAAAATGCAACTCATATCTGAACAGTTTAGGACTCACATAATAGTACTTCTCCTTGTTCAAGCTTCACCTATTAAAAATGTACGAAAATAAATGCATGATGAGTGGATTTGGCACATGTGGAATCAGTTCTCTCCTTCCTCCTTCATACAGATTCCAAGGATTGAACTCAGGTGTTACCTACTGAGCCCTCATGATGGCCCGAAGTGTGTGAAAATAAGATATTCTAAACTTTTTAATTTATATTTTACAGACCAAATTTTTTTTTTTTTGGTTTTTTTGAGACAGTTCCAGCTGTCCTGGAACTCACTATGTAGACCAGGCTGGCCTTGAACTCACAGAGATCTGCCTGCCTCTGCCTCCCGAGTGTTGGGATTAAAGTCCTCGTGAGCCACCACGCCCGGCTACAGACCAAAATTTTAAAAGAAAAAAAATGAATATATTCAAGCGAAGATATGTGAACAACAATTTCAATTCATATCAATTTCCTTTCCAAATAGTCTAAGGGTCAAGTGCAAATACAGCAGAATTCACCCAGGTACAAAAGTACTGATTTTCCTTAAGCCTCATTTTGTTCTGAATTGAGGACACGGTGTTCAAGGAGCTCAGCAGAACTGGAAATAAAATCCTTTTGAAGAAAGCACACTCCCTTATAGCAGCACTTCTTTAAGGAATTGTTCAATAAAATAGTTCTTTTTAATTGACTTAGGCATCCCATCTGATTTCCTATACTTTAATCGTTTATGAAAAAATAAGGTATGGCACTTTACCCTAAATAGCCTATCTGCTAATACTGCCAAAGACAAGGACAAAGTATAAGTCATAGACTCATTTCTAGGGGACTCAGACTTGTCCTCTAAGAATTTCTCCATGAAACAGGGAAAAGCCTGTATCAAGAACCACAAAATTTTGTTTCACTTGCAGAGGACCCAGGATTGGTTCCCAGCACCCACATGGCAGCTAGCAACCATCCAAACGCTCCAGTTCCAGGAGACCCAACACTCTTATGGGCGCCATGGCCACTATATGCAAGTAGTGCATTTACATACATGCAGGCAAAACACTCATACACATAAAATAAAAATAAATAATTTAAAAAGAACCTCAAGCTGGGCATGGTGGTGCATACCTTTAATCCCAGCACCCAGGAGGCAGAGGCAGGTGGATCTCTGTGAGTTCAAGGCCAGCCTGGTCTACATGGTGAGTTCTAGGACAGCTGGAGCTACAGGGAGACCCTGTCTCAAAAAGATTAAAAAAAAAGAACCTCAAATGTTGTTGGACGTGATGGCACACATCTTTAATCCCAGCACTAAGAAGGAAGAGACAGGTCTGTGAGATCCAGGCCAGCCTGGTCTACATAGAGTGTTCCAGGCCAGCTGGGTCTGCAGGGAGACCTTGTCTCAAAAAAAAAAAAAAAAAAAAAAAAAAAACAGGCTGGAGAGATGGCTCAGTGGTTAAGAACACTGACTGTTCTTGCAGAAGACCTGGGTTCAAATCCCAGAACCCACATGGCAGCTAACAACTGTCTATAACTCCAGTTCTAATGGATTCAGCAGCCTCTTCTGTCCTCCTCAGGCACTGCACGACACAGGTGCACTTACCTACATGCAGGCATAACACTTACACACATTAAAATAAAAATAATAAATAAAAAATTAAAAAACAAACAACAAATAAATTGACCCAGGGTCTGGAGAGATGGCTCAGTAGTTAAGAGCACTGGCTGCTCTTGTAGAAGACCTGGGTTTGAATTCCAGCATGATGGCCAACAACCATCAGATTCCCTGGAAGTGGTGTTATGGATAGGTGTTAGCTGCTATGTGGGTGCTGGAAACTGAACTTGGGTTCTCCCCAAGAGCCGTCAGGGCTCTTAACCACTTAGCCATCTCTCCAGCCCTGACACATCTGCAATTTTTTTTTCATATCTGCATTTTTAAAAACCTTAAAATTATTTATTTTTATTTTATGTGTATGCATGTATTGCCTGCATGTAAGTAAGTGTACCCGTGCTGTGCAATGCCCCTGGAGGTCAGAAGAGGCTGTCAGATCCCCTAGGGCTGGAGTTATGGACAGTTGCTAGCTGCCATGTGGGTGCTGGGATTCAAACTCGGGTCTTCTGCAAGAACAACCAGTGTTCTTAACCACTGAGCTATCTCTCCAGCCCCATTTTTAAAAAACTTTTTAAAAAAATTAATAAAATAGGGAAATAAGTGATGGGAATAGCTTAGCCAGGTATTGCTCTCCTAACTATGGCTTGATTCCCAGTATTTCAAGAAAACAAAACTGTGCATGGTCTAAAAATGAAACAGGGAATTAAAATCTTACATCAATTAAAAAATGCCCATTACAAGCCAGGCATGGTGGTACACATCTTTAGTCCTAGCACTTAGGAAGCTGAGGCAGGCAGATCTCTGTGAGTTCAAAGGCAGCCTGGTCTACATAGCGAATTCTAGATCAGTAGGAGCTACAGGGACACCCTGTCTCAAAAAGACCGGGGGGGGGGGGGGGAGCCCATTACGCTGGGTGTGGTGGTGCACACCCGTAATCCCAGCATTTAGGAGACAGAGGCAGGCAGATTTCTATGAGTTCAAGGCTAGCTTGGTTTACATAGCCAGTTCCAGGCCAGCTAGGGGCTACAGGGAGACCCTGTCTCCAAAAATGAAATGCCCATTGCTAGCTAGGCATGGTGGTGCATGTGCTTAGTCCCAGCCCTCAGGAGATAGAGGCAAGAGGATCTCTGTGAGTTTGAGGCCAGCCTGGTCTACATGGCAAGTTCCAGGCCAGCCAAGGCTACAGAATAAGACCCTGTCTCAAAAAACAAACAAACAGTGCCCAGTACTATAGATAATCAGCAACAGAAGGACAACTCCTCATCCCAATCTGAGTTTTAATGTTGAAGCAGTGGTACTTACAGCTATAACCCGGTAACCCCATCCAGTCAAGGCCAAAATCTGCCGGAAAAATACATCTGCAGTTCCGCTGACGGGGGGAAGAAATATGAGAGGACACCGGATACTTCGGGGACCGGCATCGTAGAGTGACCATATCTTACTGTCATCATCATCTACAATAATCTGGAGGGAAGGTTACAGGGGAACAAAAAGGACACCATGAAGTTGTGTTTGAAGGCACTACTTTACGACATCCACGGACAATTTTGACACAGGTGCCTTGTTTGTGACAAGGTAACTTGGGAGTCACAGGTTAGTATTATGCAATAGACCATTTCTTTTTCCTTTTCTTTCTTCAGTGCCAGTTTCCACAGAAGTGCTTTAGAAGCTTCCAAAGAGCTGTTTTTTTCTGTTTTTAATTGTTCTGTCCATTCATAATAAGAAATCTATTTTATCATTAAACTCTGTACACAGCATTTATTTTTTTCTCTACTTCTGGCTCTGTGTATGTTCAGTACAGGTTAGCTATTATATTTCACTGCCAATTCTCATACACACACACACACATACATGCATGCCCTCACGCATGCACACAGACAATTTGCAGAGTCATTCCTGAGTGCTGGCCCAGAGGATTGGCAAGGGTCAGTAGGGTGGAAGCTTAAACAGCAGAGGCCAGGGGAGCTGAGAATCTAGGTTCTGGGATAGGCTAGGCAGAGACCACCCCAGCTCAGGAGAACCTTTAGGATTCTGCTCTAGAGCAAAGCTGGGGGGCAGAGGGGACTTCAGCTACGAAGAAAGGATGAAGCAAATATATCTCTGGAAATGTTTCAAACCAACCATTCACTTGGGGTTGGGACTGAGGCACAAAGAGGAACTAAATTTTTTTCCTTTTTTTTTTTAGGTCTTTTTGAGACAGGGTCTCCCTGTAGCCCCAGCTGACCTGGGATAGAACTGATTTTTTTTTTAGGAATAAGAGGGAGAGGTCACCAGGAACCTTTGAGACTTAGTGGTTCTTAGTACAACATGGGGAAGAAAACAAGAAATGAGGTGCTTGGCACAGAGATCGGCAGAGAGTAGGTGTGCAACACAGGTTAGCTATTATTACACTTCACTAACAATTCAAATCAATATTTATCTTACTTTTATATGAAAGAAAGGAAGGCTCTGGGTCAATTTTTCTGAGAACTGCCAGTTGGCAGGGCTGTGGCCTCCAGTGTCCCTCTGTGAGGAGCAGTCAACTAGTCAGGGTCACTGGTGTCACCAAGAGCAGCAAATGAGCAAGACAAAGTCCAAGGAGGCCAAACAATTTCCATCTGGCCTTCCCCAGGTCACAGATGGCCACAATACATCTCATTCATGTTTTGACCTTTGCATTTATGTTATCTTTTTCCTGTGGGTGTGGTTGCCCATGCCTTTAATTCCAGCACTTGGGAGGCAGAGGCAGGAGGATCTCTGAGTTTGAGGCCAGCCTGGTCTACATAGTGAGTTCCAGGCCAGCTGGGGCTACAGGAAGACCCTATCTCCAAAAAAAAAAAAAAAAAAAAAGCAACCCACAAAACTCAATGACCTTTGTCAGTGCACATAACAAATCCCAATCTGCAGGGATACAATCATGTAGACAGGTACAGACCTAAAATCTTCTAGGGAACTATTTCAATAATCTAACTTGGAGGAAAAGTAATACAAATACTATGCTCCAGAACACCATGCCTCTGTGATATGTTCTGAAAAGTGACCATGAAGCTCTGAACTTATTTACTATGACTGACAAATATTATTTAGGTCAGTTTGGGCATCTTAGGGCCAGTGATCAGCTTGCTGAGAGAAGGAATCCAAGAGATGCTCACAAGAGTTACTTAAAGGGATGGGACAAGATAGATGAGCCCTAATTCTCCTTTCAATGTTGGCAATAGTCTCCTGGGGAACAAAAGGGAAAGAGGACTCCCTTTGTAAGCAGCCAGAGACTTTGAAGTCAGATGAATCTGATTTCAATCCATACTCTACCAAGCTATGTGACCTCTAGCACACTCATTAACTCTATGGACCTCAGTTTTCTCATCTGTGAAGTATGCATGCTAGCACCCAGTTTGTCAAACTTCTGAAAGAATTAAATAAGGTACCTGAGGAGTGTCCACAGCAGTGCCAGGCATATTGGCAGGCATCCTGCCTATACTTGACAAATGTATCTCTGATTTCTTCATGAAGGACAATTTTGTTAGTATTCAAGCCTGCATGACACTTTCATAGCTGTTTGCCTTTCTAAAATAATAAGAGGCACACAGATGATCTTGCATAGTACTCTAATATTGCTGTAGGAGAATCAGCAAAGATTGTACTTTGTGACATGAACAGCCTTTGTCTAGGATTAACTTGGGGCTCAGAGTCAATAGCAAATTTCGACATGTGTTTGAGGGGTTTAAGGAAATGGGTTACAGGAAGGTGCCTGGAGTTCTCTAATGTGACCCACTGTAAACCTTAAGTCTCAGGTACAGAAGCAGAAATGACTACTCTCACTACATAGATGGTGCCATAAGCTTTTCTGAATTATTGGAAGTTGAGTAAAATGAGTTGTAAATAAGGATACATTGCACTTGCTTTTACTCAAGTAAGTCTCAGAAGCTGATCGCATGGGACAGGGAATGGGTGAACTTTATACTCTGTAACCTCCAGACATGGTATCTGGCAATAATCTTGACTCTCAAACAAGACAAAGGAATAGCCTCTAAACCACATACAAAAACAACACAAGATTCTACAATTATGATTTTCTGTAAAACTATACATACCTTTTTAAGAGGAACTGTACTCCTAAACCAGTTATAATCAGGAGAGACTTTGATCTCTCCCATGGTTAGCTGAAATGGAGGTTAACCCTGAAATAAAAGCAGATGACATTTCATGTGAAGAATTCATATACATCAGAACTCAATGTAGAGCCTGGCCTAGCTATACCTTCAATGCATTAAAACCAAAGAAACAGTACACACTTAAACTACAGAAAACAATTTCATGAATTATTCCGATCCCTTTAGTACCTCCAAAGAAAAAATCTGGTCTAGCAGATTTAAATAATGAACGCTACTGCAGAACTAGGGCTGGACACACAATTTTTTTTTTTTTTTGAGACAGGGTCTTCCAGTAACCCCAGCTGGCCTGGAACTTACTATATAGATCAGGCTGACCTTGAACTCAGTGAACTCAGAGATCTGCCTGCCTCTGCCTCTCTAGTGCTGGGATTAAAGGCATGCACCACCATGCCTAGCTATAACAGTCTCTTCTAATACCATCCACCTGTCCTAGTTAAGAGACTCCAAACTAATCTCACTGCTGTCTTTTGACTGTATTTTTGTTTTGAGATAGGGTCTTACTATATAGTCCTGGCTGACCTGGAACTCTCTATGTAGACCAGGATGGCCTTGAATTCACCAAGACCCACCTGCTTCTGTCTCCCAAGTGCTGGATCAAAGGTGTGTGCCACCACACCCAGCTTTTGACAGTATCTTAAGAACCCATTTTAATAAAGCTGTTCCTGTCTGAATTATAGGGAAGCCTATGCTAGAGAAAGAAGTTAGTATGCCTGTCCTGTTTCCTGATAAATTCACAATATGTCATAAGTCTAACTTTAATAAAACACAACTTCAGAAACTTAACGTACTTAACTCCTGTAGTTAATACAGAATACAGGCAAATATGCCACTGCCATTGATGTGATTAAAAGTTACATAAGCTGGGATGTAGCTGGGTGGGTACAGCACTTGTCTAGCATGTACAATGTCCTGGGTTCAATCCCTACCACTCTAAAAGTTCCATAAAAGCTCCTCTGGTATACCTGTGATATAACTTAAAGACATTCTAATTTGAAACAAAATCCTTCTTTAAAAGAAAAAAAGGTATGGACTTTTGTTTTGAGCTTGTATAGCTCTGTGACTTTGGATAATTCATGACCACTTTTGGGCTTGTTTCCTCGTCTGAGTTTCAGTATTATATCCCTGGAGCCTAGATGACTACATCCTTTCTAACCCTGGTTCCTCTGAGCTTTGAACTGGATGAATCTCTACAATTTAAAAGTTGCCCCTCTTGCTCAGGTGTTATAACAGGAACCTAAAATTATAGTTCCCTGTTGCAGACTCTTATTGCCAAGAGGAGAACTTCTGCACATCCCTCTGGAAGGATTCAAATACTTGCTCTGCAAAGAGTTCTCTGACCTCAAACACAACCCTAGTCTCCAGGACTTATTTCTGGGCTGACTTTAAGCTTCCATTTTAAATATGGCCCTCTGGACTGGCAAGGGGCAGAGGATTCTAAACTCAATAGAACCCTTCCTCATTGGACCTCCCTCAGGGACAGAACACTGGGATAGTAAAGCCCTAGGACAGTAAATGTAAACATTCCGATACCACACTCCAATTACAGTCCTGACACGGTAAGGGCTCTTTTCGCAAAGCAAAGAAGGTACTTCGGAGAAGTTTGTTGAAATTTTAAGTTGCTTTAAAATCCCAAGAAAAATCACCAGCAATCTTATGCTCAAAACAAGTGTACAGATGTGGTTATTAACATTGAAACAAAGAAAATTATTCTTTACTTTTTACCTTAAATATTAACATGTTTTTAAAAAAATCTAAGCCATTTTACCCTACTCTTTTAACATATCTTTCTCTAAGCTGTAACTTAATTTTTTTGTCTTTCATTTTCATAAATTTATATCATGAATTTTAGTGATTTTTCACCCTATCTCCTTAAGCTATTACATTTAAATGAAAGCAACTAGCAGCACATACAGTTAATTATGAAATATTTTTCTATCTGGACAGACTTGAAATACTATCATATCATCTAAATCCATCCAACTGGAAAGATTTTTCTAATACTGCATTTCTACAAACAATTTCTACAGGAGGGAATATTAAAAACATGTTAAGCAGCCCGATGTAGTGACACATGCCTTTAATCCCAGCACTTGGGATGCAGAGGCAGGAGAATCTGAGTTTTAGGCCACCCTCATCTACCTAGCAAGTTCCAGGCAGCCAACGGTACAGGGAGACCCTGTGTAAATAAAATCTCAATCAATTTGTTAACATTTGTTTCTAGGAGCTGGAGAGATGGCTTAGCGGTTAAGAGTACTAACTCCTCTTGCAGAGGACCCGGATTCAATTCCCAGCACCCACATGGAGGCTACGAACCGTCCTTAACTCCAGTTCCAGGGGAATCCGAAGCCCTCTTCTGACCTCCGCAGCATTGCACTCACATACATGCAGACAATACACTCATACACATAAAATAAAAATAATAAATAAAATATTTTAAAGTTTGTTTCTATAGTCAACCAACTTGGGATAAAAATTTACTCATAGTTTTAGAATCAGCTTCAATACACAAACCAAAACCTACCATACAAACACACAGGCATACAAGGGCAGTCATCTACTTTCCCACAGCAAGAAGTAGAAAGAGTCCTTACCAACAGTCTTCAGTGTAACTCACAACCACTTCAATATTGTAACAGGTTATAACTATCCTCACTGGATGAGAACCACCACCCAGCTGTGACTGAATTTTTGTTAAGGACAATTTTAACACTTGTGCTAGTTTGGCAGTCATGAAAGGTGAGCCAGATACCAAATGTTGCCTCTAACCAGCTGACGTCTATGAGAAAAAGGCTTGGCTGCGGAAGAAAAGCAGCTGTGCACAGCATGAAAAGGCATTTGTTCTAGCTCTCTTTCATCCACTAAAGTGAGATGCTTTTCCAAGTCACAAGAGGAATATTCTGTCTATGACCCAGAAGGTTAACTGAGATTGTGACCAAACTGGTCAGGATGAAATAAAAATGTGGGCAGTGAGCTCAGGGAGGGTTTGATTTCTCCTGATTGGGTTCTTCACAAAACAAAAACACCTGTTCAGGATGGTGGGCAATGGGCCAGAGATTAGTTTTAATCATGATTAAGGAAACCCCTCCTCCTGGGTGCTGAGGACACCCAGTCCTCTCTGGACCTTGTGTAGCTAGACAATAAACCTGCTAGTTGTGAACACACACTTCAGGGTTTCAATAGAAGCTGCCAGTTTACAGACAAAGAGACTGCCTTTTCAAAGGTTTAGCTGACTGCCAGTCACAAGTTCCTTTATCGCAATCCATAGCGTACTTACAAATGTGATGTTAATAAGACCAACAAAAAAAAGTATTAGAACCTGAGCGTCTCTAGGTGACACAATTATTGGTGCTGGAGAGTGAACCTAGGGCCTCCAGAATGCTAAGGATGAACTTTTGTCACCAAACTACATCCTCCATCCTACAACTGGCTTTTAAATATAGGTCTCCACCCCTCCCCACACCAGTATGTATTCAATAGCTATCCTATGATGTTTTCAGATCTCTTTAGGGAAGATTTATCCCCCCTTCTCTAGGAACCTATTCCATTATCTACAAATCTGAAGGGAGGAAAAGATGCCTGCTTGACATCTCTCCGACATGTCTTCTCAAGCTCCTGGTATAAAAGCTTTCTGAAAATATAGATAGCTCAGTCTGTTGAAGCTTTGCACCAGGAGGAGCTGGACCCGTGCAGATGGAGACAAAGGCATCAACATCCAACTTACAACTCCTCAAGAAAAGAAGAAAAGTGAGATCCCCCCCCGACCCTGGTACTTTCCTCATCACTCATTCACAAGCCTCACACCTGGCCTGTACTGCGGAGGAATCTCCAGAACTAGCCTCTATTCATAGCCCTTAAAAGTTTACTGAAACAATGTTCCTGGGCTTTGGGCTTCTGCCTCCCTGTCCCAGGATCGCGCTACAGGAAATGCCTGCTTAAGAATCGTGTACACTCTCATCCCCGACCCGCAACCCCAACGGTGACAGCCATCCAACAGTAGGATCACAGGCACACCGACCATCCGTTGTGAACCTAGGCTGAGACACATACACACGGATATGGATCACGTGCTTGGTCACATGGACCAGCCCACTCGTGGGCTACACTCAGTCACACCCTACCGAGGCAGTCATGCATGCTCTATACACACCCACCTACATCCCCTACATGCATCACACACTCACGCTCCCTCTTTCCAAGGCCTGCCTCTCACCTGCCGTGGCTGCCCCCCGCCCCCACGTCCCTTTCCTTCCGGCCCAGGCAGCTCTTAGTTCCAGTTCGGGCGCAGCAGGTGCAGGCGGAGGGGCTCGCGCGTGGGGCGGGCGGGCGCGGCGGGCAGAGGCGTTGCGGGGCGGGGCGCGCGGCCAAACAGCCCAGGCCGCCGCCTCCCAGCTCAGGAACCCGGGGCTCCGGAGCGCGCCCCCAGCTTCCGGGTTCTGAGGGGGCGGGGCCACGTGTCGAGGAAGGGGCGGGGCTCTGGCGGTGTCTGTGGTGACCCGGCTGCTGCAAACCCGGGTGGTGGGTTGGGACGCTCACTGAGCCTCAGGTCAGGTTGGAGTCGGAAGCTCGCGCCAGGCCCGGCAGTGGCCAAGGGCGCAGGGGGCTAGTAGCTTCTGGGTCGGCTCCAGGTCACCTGTCTAACGTGGGCACCCAGGAGGAAGTGAAAAGACAGTAGACAGGTGCTGAGCCCCGGGGACCTGCTTCTGCCTTCAGTTCACGGTGTCCTCTTCTTGGTGGGAACCTTTGGGTCCCAGCTGTAGTGAATAGGGCTTGGCATACGCTTTTCTTTTTTAAATTAGCATATTTTAATGATACACAGTAATGGATTTCACTTTAACATTTTCATACATCTATAAATTATTTTGATCATGTTCACATCTCCATTGCCCTCTCTCTCTTCCACTCCCCCATCTCCTTCCTCTTCCTAACTAATGTACTCTTTTTTTTTAATTTATTTTATGCATGAGTGTATTGCCTGCATGTTAAGTGCCCCCTTGTTGTGCAATGCCTAAGGAGGTCAAAAGAGGGTGTCATCCCCCAGAACTAGAGTTAGGAATGGCTGGGAAGGAAACCCCAGTTCTCTGCAAGAGCTGTAGACAGTACTCAACCACTGAGCCATCTCTCCAGCCCAGAGATTATTATTTTAAAAACTTATGTGTGTCTGGGTGAGGGTATGTGCATGTGAGTGCAGTACCCCTGGAGGCCAGAAGAGGGCACAGAATTCCCCTGGAGTTGGAGTTCCGGGCAGTTGTGAATTTCCAGAGGTGGATGCTGGGAACAGAACTCAGGTCCTCTACAAGAATAGTACTGGCTCTGGGCTGGAGAGACGGCTCAGCAGTTAAGAACACTGTTCTTGCAGAAGACCTGGGTTGGAATCCCAGCACCCACATGGCAGCTAACAACTGTCCAGTAACTCTGGTTCCAGGGGATCTCACAGCCTCTTCTGTCCTCCTCAGGCATTCATTGCATGACACTGGTGCACCTACCTACATGCAGGCAATACACGTGTACACATAAAATAAAAATAATAAAATATTTTTAAAAATAGCACTGGCTCTTAACCTCTGAGCCATCTCTCCAGTCCCTAGATTTATTTTTATTTATGTGCATGTACATGTGCATATGTGATGTGTGCATGTCTATATGCCATATTTGTAGGTATCCATGGAGGCCAGAAGAGAACATCAGATCCCTTGGAGCTGGAGTTACAGATGGTTGTGAGCTGCCTGACTTGGGTGCTGGGAACTGAGCTTAGGTTCTCTGGAAGAGCAGCAGGCTGTTAACTGTGCTGAGCCATCTCTCCAGTCCTAAGGAAAAGTTTATATCCCGTTAAAGGCCCATGAACTTTGCCCTTATTCAGGCATCTGTTATGGGATTAAAGCCAAGATAGTTTCCAACTAAACAGCATTCTTAGTCATGACTAGCACACTGGCCCACACTTTCAATGCCAGCCCTTGGGAGGGGCAGAGGTCTGCAGATCTCTGTGAGTTCATAGGGTCCAGCCTAAAGCTTAGAGAAAAGACATTTTGCCGTGATGTCTAGCACTCAGGACACAAAGGCAGGAGGATCTCAGACTCAAATTGTAGTGGATACTCTATCTCAAAGCTAACAGAATTGCCCAAAATTATAAGCAAAGAGTGGCAGATACAAAAATCTGAAGTTGTTTTACCAACTCTCAAAAGTCAGAACTCTTCACCAAAAGTATCTGTCTAAAGCAAAGATGTCTAAAGCAAAGACGTCTAAAGACATCAACCGATGTCTTAGCACAGGATATGACTGATAAACAGCAGGTAAAAAAAATGTGTATTGCGCTGGGCATGGTGGTGCACGCCTTTACTCCCAGCACTTGGGAGGCCGAGGCAGGCAAATCTCTGTGAGTTCAAAGCCAGTCTGGTCTACATAGAGAGTTCCAGGCCAGCTGGGGCTACAGGGAGACCCTGTCTCAAAAAGACCAAAAAAAAAAAAAAAAAAACCCAAAAAACAAAAAAACATATATTGCCTAAGTGATGGTACACGCCTTTAGCCCAGCACTTGTGAGGCAGAGGTAGGCAGATGTCTGTGAGTTCAAGGCCAGACTGGTCTACATAGCGAGTTCTGGGTCAGCTGGGACTACAGGAAGACCCTGTCTCAAAAACTACCCCCCAAATATGTATATTGAGGCTGGGTGCGTGTTGGCGCACACCTTTAATTCTAGCACTCGGGAGGCAGAGGCAGGCGGATCTCTGTGAGGTCAAGGCTAGCCTATTCTACATAGTGAGTTCCAGGCCAGCTGGGGCTACAGGGGGACCCTGTCTTAAAAGGACCAAAAAAAAAAAAAAAAAGATATTGAATGAATTAATGAGTGAATTAATATATCTTCCCTCGATTCCTAAAACTGTATTCCTTAGGCCCTAGATCCCCTGCTATATTTAAAAAAAATTTTTTTGGGGTGTTTTTGAGACAGGGTCTCCTTTAAGCCCCAGCTGGCCTGGAACTTGTATGTAGACAAGGTTGGCCTCCATCTCACAAAGATTCTCCTGCCTCTGCCTCTCAAGTGCTAGAATTATATGTGCGACAGGCCCACTTTATATTTTTTACATTAAAAATATATTTATTGTGCATAGGAGGTACATATATGCCATGGTACACGTGTGAAAGTCAGAGGACAACTTGCAGGAATCAGTTCTCTCCTACCATGGGATCTGGGAATCGAACTCAGGTCATCTGGCTTGCAGGCAAGTACCTTTACCCACTGAGCTATCTTGCTGGCCCTAAAGTTACTAACAGCAGCAAGGAGACCTAAGGTATGGATATATTTATATATATTAGAAAATCTTGTTAGTGTGGAAATTATTTTTTAACATTTATTTTTATTATTTTTATTTGTATGGGGTGGGGTGGGGTGGGGTACCTATGGAAACCAGACAAGGGTGTCGGAGCCCTTGGAGTTGAAGTTGTATAAAAAGCAGCAAGTAATCTTAACTGCTGAACAATCTCTCTAGCCCCTTGGTTGTTTTGTTTGTTTTTGTTTGTTTTGAGACAGGTTCTTATGTAGCCCTGGCTGACTTCAATCTTGCTCTGCAGGGGAGGCTAATCTTTAAGTTTTGATTCTCCTGCTCCCTTCTGAGTGCTGGCATTACAGGTGTGTGCTACCATGCTGGGATATATAATTTTTTTTTCTTGTTCTATTTTTAATTCTTTATTTTCTCTTAAAATTTATGTTTTAACAAAGTAACAGGGATACTGTTTACCAAAATCCAGTTATAAAATCCATAACATACAAAAAAAAATCAAAGCTACAGAAAGATTTCCAATCTGCACAACTCATTTTAGAAAAATTTGGTACATTGGCTATAACACTCATTTACATGGATTTTCCCTGTAGCTCCAGATGTCCTGGAACTCACTATGTAGACCAGGCTGGCCTTGAACTCACAGAGATCCACCTGCCTCTGCCTCCCCAGTGCTGGGATTAAAGGCGTGTGCCGCCACGCCCAGCGGATATATAATTTTTAACTTTACTGTTGATAATAAAAAAAGAGAAAACTATGTAGATTGGTTTTATGACACATATACTTTTGTTACAATGTAACAGATCAAACCAAAAAATAATGGATGTGGGGTGGGTGCTGGGGGAGGCAGAGGAAAGGGGTCCTGCTCCCAGGGGCCCTCTGGCCCTTCTCTGCTTTTTGTAGGCCCACCCAGGTCTAGAGTCCACCTCTACCTCATCTGCCAGACCTTAATAAAAGCCCCTGCTTCTCCTGTTTTTTTTTTTTTTTTTTTTTTTTAATGGATGTGTTGTTTCTCTTAGAAAAGGTGCCAGGGTTGTTTGTCCTCAGTTGTTCCACAACACATGGCAAGCATGCTCTCTGTTCCCTAACTTCAACCCAGAACACTTAATATCTGAGTTCCAGCTGTCTTGTCACAACTGCAGGCCCCAAACTTCTGATCCAGGCAGGCCCCGGTTCATGCAGACCTCGTGGGCAGAACTGTAAGAATTTACAGCTGTCCTGAATGATGTCTGCTGGGTATTCCCATAGTACTTATTCCTGTATGGAATTCTCATTGGAAAACCAGAATGTTCACAAAATATGCTGTGAATACCAAGCAAAGTAAACAGAGGCCAACTGGCTTGTGGAATCAGCCCAACTATTTGGCAGAGAGGGAATGGTGTCTTGTGACAGAGTCTTCTTCTGTAGTCCCAGCTGGCCTGGAATGCTCTATAGACCAGGCTGGACTCAAATTTGCTGTAATCCTCCTGCCTCTGCCTTCCAAGTACTGCGCTTACAGGGATGTGCCGCTGTATTCGAGGGGCCCTCTTATTTTTTGACGAGACAGCATTTGTTTTAAAGAGCAGCAAGTGATCAACAAAACAATCCTAGATGTATCTAGGCTGGAGAGATGGCTTGGCAGTTAAGAGTACTTGCTGCTCTTGCAGAAGACTGGAGTTCAGTTCCAAGCATCTATGTTGGGTGGCTGGTGACCACCTGTAACTCCAGTTCTAGGGGCTCTGATGCCCTCTTCTGCCCTCCATGGACACCTGCAGAAGCATGTGCATACACACTTGCATACACACAAACATAATTTTTTTAATTAAAATTTTTTTGATTTATTTTATGTGTATGAGTGTTATGCCTGCATGTGGAGGGCAGAAGAGGGCATTGGATCCCCTAGAATTGGAGTTTCAGGTGGTTTTTAGTTTCAGTGTGGGTGCTGGGATTGGAACTTGGGGCCTCTGCCAGAATAGCCAGTGCTCTTAACTGCTGAGCCAACTTTCCAGCCCAAGACATAATTTTTAAAAGGATATAAATCACATAATACAGTGATTATACCTGGTGTGGTGATGCGGAGATCTGTAGATTTAATGTATGACTTCATATAAAAACCTATTTGTGGGCTGGAGAGATGGCTCAGCGGTTAAGAACACTGGCTGGTCTTGCAGAAGACCC